TTAAATATATATATTTTAATAATATATTTTTTAAATATTTAATAGAGGATAAGATTCAAAAATTAATTATATAATTTACAAATAAAATAAAAAAATTCTTTTACCTTATAATAGTATTAGAGAAAGTATTCACGTCAAAATAAAAATAAAAAAAGAAGTGACGTGGGTGCAGATGTAATATATATATGAGCCTTTGGATTGCGGGGGATTTGGTTACTTCAGAGGGCACGCGCATTGTGTAGTTGAAGTGTTGAACATAAATTCTCAATTGAAAGTTCAACTATCCCGAAGACAATTAGGTCGCGCTTGATTATTAAATATGAAATAAATGGAATAAATTACAAAAATAAAGGTGATATAAGATGATAAAAAAAATAGTGAAATATATTTATAAACGAGAGACATAATTTAATTTATAAAGTTAAAAATTATAATTCATAAAATTTTTAAAAAATGTGATAATTTTTATATTTATAATATATATTAATGAGTTTTATTATGTTTATTATGGAAAGAAATGATGATTTAATTTATTTTTGTGTTGATTTTTTTAATCTATTTCATTCTATTCCAACAATAATAAACGAAATTCAGGTGGATCTCTTTGAATCTTTTTGGGAAATTCGAACAATTAAGAAACCACAGTACTGCATTACTAATTTAACTGATGAAATTAATGATCAATCTTGACTTGTCTTATATTATTATTAGGCCTCTAAACTAATGACAATCACATGTTTAAATTATTTTTATGCTTGCATTTACCTTGCTGTCACTTAACATTATCGAAAAACTATATCCACAAAAAAATTCTTAAATAAACTCAAAATTATTAAAAAAACACACATTAACATATCTGAAAACTATTTATTAATTTTATACTATGATTAACTTAATCTCTCTCTCTCTCTCTGGGGCATGGGAATAAAAATTTCTTATAAATACATGCAAGTATTATATATGTAATCATTGAAAGGCTTGCATCCATTAGTTGTCAGTGTATCCACAATTTGCTTGACTAATTTTGTTGTATGGACGATAAAACCGGGTTCATACTAGAGAAATCACAGACTCTGCCAAATCTAATAAGCATAATCGGAAGGTAAATTCGTCATATGATGGTAATATAGGAAATCTTCAATCGCATAGATCACATGGCAAGAAGCTACTCTCTCACGTGGCCACATGCTTGGAACTCTTAATTGTAATCCCGATTATACGATTAAGCTTCTTTTAATTACTTTATGTTGTTTGATATATATCCCAAGCAACCTTAATTAATTAAGCTGCTTACTTCTTAAGAAAACTTTAATATCAAAAGTCTAAAATATATCAATTGTGATTAGGTCGGCTGAGAAGGTCTCACTCCTTACCCTCAAAGAATATAAGGCATTATTTTTTAGATTAGATGTTTAAAAATATATAATTTTTTTAAATTTTTTAATATATAATTAATGAGTTTTTTTCTAATATCTTTAATAAATAAACCGCCACACTCTTCGCCTTTAAGTGAGGTATGCTATTAAACATGGACAAATATACAAATATGATATTAATTTAAAAATAATTAACTAATTTATTGTGGTGTAAGTTAGTTAAAAATGTTTTATATTTTTGAATGAAAAAAATTAATTGTTTTTAAGTAATCCATCTAATTCTAAGTATCCTTGTTGATTACATGATAATAAATATCTTTTTCTCAAATTATCTTTATTGATTACATGGTAATAATTTAGAGCTTTTGCAGATATTACCTATATTATAGGATCAACCAAGCAAACAACACAACATTTATTATATTTTATGTTATAGCTTATTTATTATATTTTTTAATAATATATCATTATATATCAATGATAAACTTCTTGTAAATTTTTAAAATTTTAATAATAAACTCCCTATATGTCAATATTAAATTCATTGTATATCAATATTAACTGGCCACACTTTAAATTTTTAAAAATTTGATCCATATTTTCTATGCATTAGATCCAATAAGCCAATTTACCCTCATAATTTCATATCAAAACCTAAATGAACTTGCATTGTTTTCCTTCATTAAAATGCTAATATTAATTTTGGCCCCCACATTATAGTATAATTTTTCATTGTGGCCACCATTGATGGGGTTCCAGATCCGTCTGGATAAAAATGACAAACAATTACTTATTTAACTAATTTCATTAATCTATGTAATTCGGGTAACCAGCTCGTATATTGAGGACAGAGGGAGTCAGGTTGATAGTGCAAACCTCGAACCATTTCACTTTAACCATGGTCGGTCATTGAAATTTTAATAACCTTTAGATTCTAATTAATTAAAATATGGTCATGTTGTATTTTTATCCCGAAATATATTTTTTAATGAGTGCCAGACACCTGCATTGATAATTGATAAATGAAATAATTTTTTTTAAATTATTTTTTTAAGGAACAACATTTCACCAATTAACCATTAACTTCGCTTCTTTTTTTAGCTAATGTGGCATGCGCTTGTGGCCCACTCGCACTGACAAGTAAAATTGTAACTATCTTTTTTTATGTTAATTTGTTTTTAAATTTTTTTAATAGTATTATACTCATCCTAAAGTCTTGTCAAAATAAAATTTAAAAAAATTATTAAAATATAAAACATTTTAATATTTAATAATTAGATATTAGTATTTATAATATTTTATCATTCCAAATTTTTCAAAATAAAATTTACTAAATATTTTTAAAATTTAAATATTTAATAATTTAAATCTCATTATTATATATCATCTATATCCCAAATTCATAAATTATTTTTTAAAAAATTTTATCTATGACTTGTATTTTTTACTCCCTCCTATTTAAAAATATAAATATTTTTTTAGACGTTGGATGTTTAAAAATGGAAGGTATTTTTAGTTTTTTGAGATGTAATCATTACCTTTTTTTGAAAAGTGCCATATTGATAATAACTTTCTATTTCTATATAGGTGTTTTAATAGAGGTCCCTATGAAAAGATAGAATTAGTTGAAAAGAAAGTAACTCACTCTAAGAGGTGAGATTTTTGATTAAACTATCTTATATTTTTGACGGAAAGAGTATATATCAATCATATTTTTAATGTTGATTAAGTTCCTAAATAAGACAAACCAGGATCAACATATCAACAAAAATACTTATTTGAATGATATTGCATATCTCATTAATGTATTTAAAAAGAGCTACTTGAAAGAGAACAATAGAAGATGAGGGGAAAAAATCTCTTCATTAATTTAGATGTTTACTTTATTTGTTAATTTGAAAGTTTATTCCCTCTATTTTTAAAAAATAACTTATACATTTTTTATAAATAATATTTAAATTATTAAAATAAAATATTTAATATTTTTATAATATTTATTAAATTTTATTTTGATAGACTTCAAGGTGCTTAGCATTCCTGAAAATTTTTTTTGAAAGTAAAATAGTATGAAAAAATATGATTAAAGTCTTATTTATCACTGTACATGAACTTTACTCAAATGTCACGTTAGTATAAAATGACAAAGTTAATGGGTAATTAATGAAAATAGTTTTTAACTCTTTGAAAAATGATTTACCTCACTTATCATCATAAAATACTTAGCGTTTCTCCAAAAAAAAAGTTCAAAAAAAAAAAAAACCTTGATCTATTAAAACGATATAAAATTTTAATTAATTCGATTACAATTATTTTTCAAATTGTTGTATGATGTTGTTGAGATTTGGATTTGGATGCATAAGATGGCTCAAGAAAAGACTTTTTGTCTTTACTTCTCAAGGTGTCCCTGAGCTGTCCCTAGTTGTTCATGTATATATTAAACAGATTCATATGTTTCTTGTTTCTTGTTGCTTGTTTTCCAGACCACTTCATCTTTTGCTTTGCCTAACGTTTTCCTAAACGATTTTAACTGTCCCCCTCTCCCATATTTTGATTTATTCATGCAAGATTTTTGATTCTCAATATGGTCCCTGCTCAAACTTCATAGATGTCATTCATAAATGAATGATTTTCAGGTTGGAGATTCTCTATAGTTATAAAAAGGGATATTATAATGTGCATTTGTATAAAAATATATTTAAAAAATTTACAAGTGTAAACCCTGCACACACTCTTTCTTTTCTTTTCTTTTTGTTTTTCTTTTTGTTTTTGGTTCTCTTTTTCGATCCTCAACGTGTAACTAGAAAATCCTAGAGAATCCACAATTTATTTGGATGGATTTTGAATGGTGGCGAGGGACTAAAAGGAGAATGAAAATTTCTCAGGGACTGATGTGGGAATTAGTAGAAACTATATTTTTTCTCCTCAAATTAAGTGAATACTTTGTTGCTGTATAATCTATATTATCTTGATTTTGATAAGTCTTTGACACCTTACTCATCTAAACTTTAATTATAAAGAAAATAAAAATAAAAATGATAAAATGGAGAGAAAACATAATACAAGTTATATTATTATCGACTAGCATTAGTTTTAATAAAAAATGTTATGATAACTTAAACATGAGGTCTTAAATTTGAATCCATATGAATACAAAATCATCCTTAAGAGAGTTACCTTACCTCTAATTTGCTTAAATTTAACCCAATTAAATAACCATTTATCTGAAAAAAAAATACTCTCTCAATTCGTTATTACAAGAGAAACTATCACATCATTCATATGCATTATTTTTATAAGAAAAATCTTAAATTTTTTAAAAAATATTTATTACATTTTTCCTAAATTGTCCTTCAAAAATGGATTGTATTATTAAATTAGAGGAAAAAAAAGTAAACATTAACTATGAAGATATTTTAGTCCAAAATTTTCAATTTCATACATAATTATTAGAATTAGTCGAATTTTTTAAATGTGTGGTACAAGTTATTGATCATCACCTGCCTTCTACTAGTGTAACCTTCATGTAAATTATAGATGTGAGTCTATCCTATAATATATATATATATATATATATATTGAAAGAGAGAGAGATGTGAGACTAAACATAGAAGCATCAAAGCAGGTTCATATCCTTTATAAACCGCAAATATCATCTCTCTGTACTCAAAAACTCACAAAACATGGTCTCTCTAGAACCCGTTCACAGCACACTAGAATCCATTGATGCACCTTCAAGCCCTCGCATCTCTTTCCAAGCAGATTTCTTAGAGGCAAGCATTTTCAACTCCATCACTACTCCAGAATCCGAGGATGATGATGATGAACAGCAAGGCCCAGATCAAAAGCAAAAGGAAAGAGCAATCAATTCATCAGAGTTTGAGTTCCTAATTTCAAGCAATAATCTGAGTCACAACAACAACAACAACATCATCACACTGTTAACTGCTGATGAACTGTTCTCTGAAGGCAAGCTTCTTCCTTTCTGGCAGATGCAGCACTCAGATCAGAAGCTCAAGAAGATCAGTCTCAGAGCCAAAGAAGAAACTGAAGAAGATGAAGATGGTGAGAAAGAAAAAGACCCAGTCGAAGAAGAACAAGCGAAGAAAGAGGAAGAAAGTAAAGTGAATTGGCTTGTGGATGAAGATCCATCTCCTAGACCTCCTAATTGCACTGTTCTTTGGAAAGAGTTACTGAGGTTGAAGAAGCAACGTTCTTCTTCATCTTCTGTATCAGTATTATCACCCTCTTCATCTTCATCTTCATCTTCAAGCTCATCACTTTCTGACACAGCTTCCAGAAAAGAAAGGATTAAAGAGAAGAAGCAAGTGAAGGGCACGAGGAAGTTGGAGAGAACAAGATCAACAAATATAAGAATTAGGCCAATGATAAACGTTCCCATTTGCACACAGGTCAAAAGCAGTCCTTTGCCACCTCTGTTTTCACTCAAGAAAGGCAAATAATTAAAAATCAATCTCATCAGGATTAAGGTTGTGAGTGTGTGATTCTCAGACTTCTCAAATAAGTTTACTTCTTCTTTAGCCTTTTTTTCCCCTTTCCCTTTGGTATCCTAAGTCTTTGATTCAGACTAACTTGATCCGGAGCTTGAACTCGAGAACTGTTATCAAACCAGATCAAATTAGTTGATCCAAGCAGGGTGATAGTTCTTCTTTTTATTTTTGGTCCATATTACTATGTTTTCATGTAAGATTAGTTAGTGTGGATTTTGATTGGATCTGGGGAATTACAATGTAGATTCTGATTTCTATAGTGATAATGGATTGTTGATTATCTGTATCTCTTGAATCAAAGGGTAAAAAAAAAAAAAAAAAAAACTCTGAGATGAATGTTGGGAAAGAGGAAGTCACCTCACATGGTTAATGCAGAGCTTAATCTGCGAGTCCCACGTGGGAACCTTGGAGCCTGAGGGCTTATGAGAGGACATACAATTAATGAGCTATGGATTTTTCATTGAGACTGGAAGCGGCTTTGGTAAAATGATGTGAGAGACATAATGATCACTATCCATTTTTTTATCCCACTTCATTAACCTTCTATAACCTAAAGATTAGTTGATTTAGCAAGCAAATTTGCACAGTTATTAACTTCCTTGTAAACAATCCATAATAATGTTCCAATTTCTCTTAAGATTACATATTTTAAACATGATATTACAAATAGAATAAGTTATCGAATTAGTTAACAATCAAAACCATAATTGAGTATGGTTAGACCAATCATAAATAAAATATTTTATTAAATCAGTGAAAATACTGATTTAAAGATTTACTAGTTCAACCTCCTAAGTTAACCCCCTTTTCAACATTTACTATGATTTTCAATGCAAATGTTGACGGTTTTCGGCCAAATACAGTAACAGATTTAATATTATTGTGATATCTAGAAGATAAAGTCCCAAGTTCTAACCTTTAAAAAAATAGGAGAAATAAATAATCTAAAAAAATTTTAAATTTAAATTTTCATTATTAATGTGAGTGCAATGTAGGGTCAAGGTTTTGTTTGGTGCTAAGGTACAAGTGTAGTGGCTGGGGTCCAACTTTGCCAATTTTTTAGCTTGGCAATCAGAGGGAAGGAAAAAGGAAATTAAAATTTTACTTAAAATGTGAAGTACTTGAATTTTTCCCATCTTTAAATGAACAATTTTATGCTTAATTTACTTAAAATTTCTAAGTTTCTTCGATTAGTTACCCGAAACAATAATATTGTGCTGCTGTATCTCAAATAAACATGTAATTTAAAGAAAATTGCAACTCTAGGCCCATATATTACATTATTTATTTTTATGATATTTTCCTTTTTTTAATGTTAAATTAATCTTTCTTTTTTTAAGTTGGTCCCGTTTTGACTGGTCTAGCTGGTTTTTAACCAGTTCTTATTTTGTCCAGTTTAGGGGTTACTACAGATTGGACATTAGGCCGTTTTTGGGTCCAACTAGTTGAATTAACCAAGTTTAATCTTTTTTTTTTTTTTGGGTCAAAGTTCGACCTTGTTTTTCTAAACATTGGTTACAAAGGGTTATCAAATGCCAGGATATCCCTTGGGAGGCACGAATCGTATCTTTATCAATTAGATTGACCTTTATTGACAAATATAGAAGATTTTGCATATTTGAAGTGCATGCTTAAGTTGCTACCAAGTTGACTAAAACATTGAAAATTCCGGTTACAGAGTTTGTTCTATCAAGGAAGCCATGTCAGAACAAAGTAAAAAGAAATTATCACTTTGAACAGTGAAAATAGAATTACACTGTCGTTGATTATATAGTCATGAGACAAAACTGTATAACAAACGTCACACAGAAACCAGAATATAATACAAGTATTTGAGGAACAAACAGCTCAGCTCAAGAACATCCCAAAAAATTTCAATAAAATAAATGAATAATGCCTATAAGATACAATTACAAGGGGTTTTAGAATCAAACATGGGTATACAGAGGGATCTTTTAGCTCCATGTCAAAAGAAGAAACCTTTGTCTCCTCCAAGAGAGAGAGGGTTGATGATGAAGAAATTCCAGAAAAAAAGTTATGATACGCAATAGAACAGAGCATCTTTGTGGGGTAAAGTATCCTATGCACGAAAGTGTCGAGAGAATTGATCATGATGCTGGAGGTGATGAAAAATTATTACCAGAAGTCCTGTCGACAAGAAAATAGTCAACAAAAGAACAATATTTAAAAAGAGAGGAAAGAAGACATGATATGAATGTGCTAGGAATGAGAGGAGCGAGAACAAATGAGCTTAAAATAGTAGGAGAACACTATATCTTAACCTAAAATCTCAATATTTAAGTTTATGAGTTCTTCCTCTTTATATTTTACAGTAGTTATTAAGATTAATTTTATCTGATGTGGGACTTTGTACATCATCATAACATAAGTCTACTCACATTTGGACAACCTAATAGAATGTTATAAACTGTTTTTACTCACCGAAGAACAAGTCCAGGTTTTCCGCTGAGATTTGCTGGAATTTGACCAGACAGATTGTTGTTTTGCAAGAATCTGCAATAAAGGTAACTGGATCAGTAATTCAGATCATCTTATCATGAGCCATGAATAATACAACTTATTTTTCAGACTTCATGCAATGCATGGGACTCACGCCAATTGAAAATCGTAAAGAAATAGCTAAAGAAAAGTCACTAGCAACAGAACTCAAGAGAAACTAGCTGATCTATCTTAGGTAGGGATAGGAATCAAGTTTAAAGAAAAAAAAATTATAAATAGAATACATAAGAGCTGAAATGACTGATTGACCATTGTGCGTTGAAATTTGAAAATGGAAACAGGAGAAACAAGATACCATCAAAAGTTACAAATTAAAATGTATAAACATGACCACAATCTACAACACAATCTCTGTCGTTATAATATTTCTGTTCTGATATACTCCTAATCTAAACAAGCATATGGACTTTATTTTCTATAGAAGAAAGAGAATTGAAACTATAAGAAATTACTCATGATGAAATCAGTGGACTGAATCTTAAGGAATAGAAAAGTTGCTTGCATTCTCCAATATATCTTGAGAAAGCAGAACTTACAGTTCATGCAAGCTGCTGATGTTCCCTAGGGATGAGGGAATCTCTCCACTGAATTGATTGTCTTCCAAGTGCCTTAAAATACAAAAACAATGAATAAGAAATAGAAATACTGAGTTCGGTGTATAAGATAAGGTTCTCTCATATTTCAACTACATGGACAACACAATCAGGGGCGGAAGCAGGATTTAACTATGAGGGAGGTCAAGATTAAAAAATATATATACTACAAAACTTCCATAAATCTTAGAGGGTGGAAATATATAAAATCTATACAACACTAAGAAAAATTTAAGAACGTGAGGGGCTATGGCTCTTGCTAGTCCCCTTCCCTCCACCCTTGATTATAATTTACACTCAAACACATTAATCATCACTATTGATGCCGAAAACAACAATAAAATCACTGCTTCCTTTGAATGGTGTAATTCTATTTATAAAGTGACTTGAGCCGATTATGTTATTGATCATAACTCATAAGCTAAAAGATAAATCATGTTATCAGAATCAAGAGGGGGAAGAAAGAAGAAGAAGATACTACTTACAGTGTTTCTAACATCCTCAATGAACCAAGGTCAGGAATTTGTCCAGACAAACTGTTATTACCAAGCCAGCTGCAGGAAGGCGATGATTTATTGATCAGAAATAAGCTTAACCTAAATTTCATGAAATTATTTACTTAAACTAAAGAACCTACATGTTGGTCAATGCTGTCATATTGGAAACATAAGGTGATAAAGATCCAGAAAGGTTCAAACTTGTCAAGTTTCTGAAATCAACACAAAATCATGAGTTAGCAAATCATTTACTCAGTGTGTCAGGATTTTTTTTTTTTTAAGTACAAATTATCACGTTACAACTACTCAAATCTGTTCTTACAAGTTCACTACTCGAATATTTGTTCCTTCGGAGCATGTGATGCCGGTCCATGAGTACTGGCGAGGCATACAAGGATCACCATTCCAATCGCTTGGAGGATTTTGGAAGCTCTCTTTTATCTTTTCCAATGCAATAACTGTCAAGAAAAGTTCCCTTTTCAGACACACTGAACAATCACAAATGATATGCAGGGCACTGCAACTATGATGGAACATCTTAAAAAGAATAACCAATCAACTATATTTTGGACATGGAAACTACTAATACAGGGCCGATTTGAAAATTTGAAAGATTTACCCTGTTTTATCGGTTGGATAAGAAATGAAAAACATCCTAGACTTATATTGCTAAGTAGCATTGACGCCAGATGAAAATTTGTTTTCTATCATTTAATAACGTATTCATATTTTCTGGTTGACTAGATATATATATATATATATATATCCTGGTCTAAAATTATTTTAGAAGTAATCCAAACTTAACCCAAAAAAGAAGAAAAAGAAGAGAAGAGAAAAACATCTGCAGCTGTACCATCCCGTGTCAGAGTTCTTCCTCCAAGTGGCAACATCTCAAAAATTTCACCGGCACTGATCAAGGGACCCAAAGATGAACTGGCAGCAGGGGTCAATCTGATTGTTGTAGGACCAGAAAGTGGCCAAAGGTTGGCAAAGACAACAACACCTGCTTCAGTCACGTTCAAATCACTGTAATATCGTATACCATTTACACTGATGTTTAAAATCCTTGGTCTCCCTGATGATGATCCGCTGTGCTCTGCAAAGTATAGAGAAATGGAGTAGTTGGAGGATGGAAGTGAGGCCTCAGGCCATGCCAAGTCCAAGGATTCCAATTGATCAGATCCCAGCCATGTATCAAATATTTTTGAAGGTGGAAGGTTCCAAATTCCTGAAACATCAGCATTGCTGCTGCCTGCGTGGCTGGAATTACTTGGTGCAAAAGGCGCCCAGAAACGGTCAAACTGATCATCAGGATACCTGGTAATTGCCATAATGATTGATTATTAGACAAATAAACAGAACCAGGCAAAAAGCCAATGTGAGGGTTCTAATTCATTATTGTCAACAATGCTATGAACGTTCTTCCCTAACTGCAAATTAACTTAGAAGCATCTTCAAGCAGATTGTAGCCTATGATATGTTCAATAAATTTCCAATGGAGGGTTTCATGCAAATCATAAAAACATTGTTAGCTAAACTAAGGTAGCAACCATAAACTATCATGCAAACTTGTGATTGCATTAGGACTTGTAAACCAAGGAGCTCAACAACCTAACCAAACCAATTTCATAACTAGTCTATTGATCACTGCTAAGTCCACATAAATAGCATCAAGTCATAATTCTACAAAAAGCTTTCATAGGGAAATAATTGAAAAGAAGGGGAATTTTTCACCAACCGAATGGGGGGTCCAGAGTATCCAAAGTTGTGCCTTGCAATCAAACTGAGCCCAAACCTGCCAAAGTTCGTAGCATTGTACAGGGAATCACTCAGGATCACCAACTCAAGAGCCGATATAAACGGGTCGGAATCCGTGTGAGTATTTGACCCGATACAAACACTCATGGTCTTTCCCTGAGCCATGAAAACGCCTTCATAGTTAGTATAATTCCCGCGTGCATAATCCGCTGTGGTGTTCACCACCCGCCAGAAGGTCCCATCCACCATCTGATCAAACACCGGCGGGGTAGGATGATCGGGTCCGTTGACTCCTCCATAGAAGTACGTAGTCCTCACCATGTACCGTGCTCCGCGATACACCAGAAAATTGTAGCAGTTCTTCTTGGCTTCAAGCGGGAAGGATCGAACGGTGGATAAAGTTTGAACCATATCAGGGGTCGTCAAATTCTTGGGTGTACCAGTTGAGATATACTCCGAATCGGGAATCCATGAGAGACCGTCGATTGGAGAAGGAGAAGTTGCCCCACAATCAAGAAAAAAACCTGGACATCACATGAATTTCTCAGAAACTATTTACACAAGCCAATTTCTATAGACAAAACTTAAGAACAAATAGCTCGACCCAGTGGCTGCTCCACAATCAATAATAAGAACACATGGGGGTTCCATGAATTTCTCAGAAGCAATTTACCCAAAGCAATTTCAATTGAAAAACTCAATAACTAACAGCTTGGCATGTGGGTTTGGTGAATTTTAACAAGAAGCTCAAGTACACGTTGAGTATACCTTTAGGAGGAGTTTGAGAGAGAGAGATGGTGAGAAAGGGCGAGAAGAGGAGGAGCAGAAAGGGAAGAAGCATGTTGGTTGAACAAAACAAGGAATGAATATGGCATGAACGTGAGAGAGAGAGAGAGTTCTGTTAGGAGTAAGAATTTTGAAGGGGTCTGTGAGTTTTGGGGAGGGAGGAAGGAAGGAACAGTGAGGAAGCAAACGGAAATGGAGTTGAGGGAAGGAATAAAGAAAAGAATATGGAAACGAAACGAGTAACGACTAACGACGACTCAGTCTCACCAATTAAACAAATTTAACAAATACTATTAAAATAGAAAATGGAAATGACGCGGGAAGAGGGGGCAAGAAGAGAGAGGGGAAAATGGCAATCACATACCTACAACCTTTAATTATAAGGGACGGTATCAATTAAGGACCCTGCAAAAGTTTAACACCTAACAAGAACTTGAACAGAACAGATTCTTGTTAAAATTTAAAAAAAATATATATTTTAATCTCTATACTTTATTCATATTTTATTATAAATTTATATATATTTTTTTAATATTTTAGATTTCTATATTTTTATTTTTTAATATTTTACATTCATTCAAAATTTCTATATTTTGTTCATTTTGTTCATTTAGGGATCTAGAATATTAAAAAAATAAAAATATAGAGACTCAAAATATTGAAAAAAAAGTGTAAGAACTTATAATAAAATATGAGTAAATGTAGGAATTAAAATATATATTTTTTTAAAATTAAAAGAATAGCTTTGTCTTCACATATTAATGGTTAATGTTTACTTGTTAAAAGTTTTTATTAAATTTTTTTTTTCAAGAGTCCTTCAATAATATTCTCTCCGTTAACTTTTTCTTAGTTTAATATATTTGATGTTTTTTTCAAAAAAAAAATTACAACTTTAGTCTTGTTCAACGCTTACCATGTTTTAAAATTAACCCGTGTATTTTTTGTCATGTTTTTAAGAATCAATATTTTGTAAAATTGTGGATCTTGTTATGAATTTTAAATTTAATTAAGAAATGTTATCTTTATGTATTGCATATAGTTTATAAAAATAAGCTATATTGTATATAACTGGTGAAATTATAATTTCTTTTCACAAGCTAAAAACAAAAATAACCTAAAAAGATTTAAAAGAGGACAAAAATAAACCATGAGAAAAAATAAATACAACTTGTAAAAAAAGGGAGGATTGGAGGTATATATAATATATTAGAGGCCTATTATATAATTAAAAAAAGGCAAAAATACAATATTTATATTTAACTTCACATGACATTTCATTCTGATCTCATAATTTTACAAAATATTTTTTAAATTATCTAATTTTAAGACCACTAGTTTCATTAACAAAGAATGTCATACTAATTACTTTACTAACCTACATATTAATGGGAGGTGTTCATGTTTGGAAGAAAATGTTTGAGGGCTTTCAACTGATATGTGTTTATGATAAGTTTGGTTTCGATTTTGATAAGAGTTACTCCTTCCATTTAAAAATATAAGGCATTTTTAATCTAATTTTATTTTTCAATAAAGTAGTTACTTACTTTTTAACTAATCCTATCTTTTCATATTTATTCTTATTAAACACCCTACATTAAATATAAAGTCATTATCAATAGGAGCATTTTTTTTAAAAATAATAATTACACCTCGAAAGATTAAAAATGTCTTACATTTTTTAACATTCAACTTCTCAAAAAATATCTTATATTTTTTAATGAAGGAAATAAGTGTTTGTTTTAGTTTGTTCATTTTTGCTTTGTTTAGCTTTGTTTCTCACTTTAGACTTAGGTCTTTTGTATATAAAAAAAAAATGAGGACATCGTCATATTAAATTTTTAAATATTAATACATTAAATTTATTTTTAAAATTTATATTATCTAATATTAATAGTAATATAGTATTAGGATTTGAAGAATAAAAAATATATTATAAATTAAGGGTTTAAACTAAAATTTGATATAAAATTATAAAACAAAAGTACCTTTCGCCCAAAAAAAATTAGAACAAAAGTTAGTTTGTTGAAGTCAAGAAAATGAGTAAAATACACGTTAAAGTAATATAATTTGGAAGGATTATAGGGGTAAAATTGGTGATAAAATAGGTGGTAGAATATAGTATGATGGGGTTTCCGGGTTTGGTTGTCATTTTATAAGGAAGAATAAATGAGTAGTTGAAGCAATCAGAGGCCGTTTCGTCTTTTTGTGGTTGTTTGAATTAATACGAAGGCTGACTTGGCCGCCGGGTGGGGGCGATCGTGATCGTTCGTTGATAAGACGTGCATCATAATATTGATTGACTTTTTATTTTTATTTTTATTTTTTTTTTGGTTTGGGTTGGATTTGTTCGTCGGAGTCAATTTATTAAGTAAACTACAGAAGATGATGATGATATATATGATATATATATATATATATATGTATGTATGTATGTATGTATGTATGTATGTATGTATACATTAGTAACCAGTAAACTAATATTTCCTCATTTTTACCACAAATTTATTTAGTTGCCTTTAAGTGATTGTTAGATAGAGAAAATATATATATATATATATATATATAAAGTGTATATATTTAATAGAAATAAAATTAAAAAATTATTAAATTTTTAAATAGATTTAATGAATTATAATTTTTTTAAATTTCAACAAAATATGTTAGAATTGGATAAGAGGAATACTTATTATAAGACACCTCAAATTATTTTATTAAAATTAAGAAAAAAATGGTTAAATTATTAATTTTGTCTGAAAATGTAATAAATTTTAAATTTTAATCTTATTTAAATAAAAAAAATTCAATGTGTATAATATTCTTTTTCACAGTTAATAAGTTTAAATAAAAATAATATTAAATAAACATGATTAATATATTATTAAATGCTTTACATTAATGACAAAGAAAAATATTATAGAATGCACCTTATAGTAGAGCTTAGGGAGAGTAGTAGTTTGATTTTTTTTTTACAGGTCAACTTTTTAATTTAATGAGATAATTTGGTTTAATCAACTACTCCCTCCTTTTAAAAATATAAAACATTTTTAATTTAATATTATTCTAATAAAGTAGTTACTCGTATTCAAACTAACCCTATTTTTTTATATTTATTCTTATTTAATAAGGTATTTTATTTTAAAATAAATATATATTGATTCATTTAATAAAGGTACTTTAAAAAAAATACAATGATTATATTTTAAAAGACTAAAAATACTTTATATTTTTTAATATAAGGAGTGTATATCTAATAAAATATATAGATCTCTCAATTAAATCATGGAAGTGGCTTTTTTGGCTATACATTGTTCCAAAAATAAATTTTAATGATTTATTATTGGTTTTAAATTAAAATTTTCCATTTAAAAATAAATGACTTTTTATCAAATTTAAATTATCAATGAACAATAAACATATGATAATTATAGTAAGCCGCGTGATTCCATGCAAATAATACAATTAACATAGGCATTTTGCCCATCCATGTTGTATCTTTTTTTAAAATATATATATACAATTACCTATTATTTATGAATCGAGCCACACAGGATCATAGTAGTTGCAAAACTCTCCCAATAAATATTTAACATAACTATATACCTTGAGCTCGAATTTAAGACTACTCCCTTCATTAAAAAATATAAGATATTTTTAATCGAATCTCACCCCCCAATAAAGTAGTTCTCTACTTTTCAATTAATACTATCTTTCTATATTTACTTTTATTAAACACTTTATAATAAATATAAAGTTATTATCAATAGGGATACTTTTGAAAAAAAGACAATGATTACATCTTAAAAGATTAAAAATACTTTATATTTTTTAACATTTAATTTTTTAAAAAATATTTTATGTTTTTGAAGGAAGGAAGTACTAGTGAAGTTAACAAAATTACTTACTAATTAAGTTACGTGCTTGTGCTCGCTGGTCATCCATGTCTTTTTATACATTTGACCTTTCTTTCATTAAAATATCTTTGGCTGACACTCAATATTTTTTTTCTAGTAATAAGTCATTATCAATTAAAATATCCCATTAAATATTATGAAGATTGTTAAAGAGTAGTATAAATACTTGACACATTAATTACAAATACCTTTAAAAAGTTTCCTTCCCGTATTTAGGATCTTTGGATGAAATATAAAGCATAATTTGGGGTGGAATGTGAGGATGTTTAGGATTTACTTTCTCATAATATAATGATAGCAAAAAGATATCGTTGATGAACCAAAAATCTAACTACGTTTAATAGAGATTTACTTTTAGCATAACAAATGTATTATTTTAATTAAAAAATTGGGAAACTATTTTTATGAGCATTACATTGAATTGAGAATAAAGTCATTTAAAAAAAACATAAATTAAAAGTTTAGATGAACACTTTATATTTTTTTTAAGGTGAAACACTTTATTAAATAGAAATAAATATGAAAATATAGAATTTTTTAAATATAAGTAATTATTTTATTGGAAGTGAGATTCAACTAAAAATATTTTACCTTTTTAAATGAAAGGAGTATAAAATAAATCACTTAAGAAAAGAAAATGTATGAAAAGGAAATGAGAGTTACTTGAAAACAAGAAAGATAAAGTATTATAGTGGTTAAAGAGAGATTTATATCCACCCAACTTTCTATATTCATACCACTAATCTTTCCTTATTTATCTTCTTTTAATAGAGTTATATTCAATATTTATTATCATCATCTTTTATATAATTATATGTCTTCCATGTTTCTATGTCTACTTTAGAAATCAAATATTTGTATTGTGGATTTGGTAAGCGTTTGACTAATTTTTGTTTTCTTCGCAATCCCAACATGTTTTGTCTAATTCAACTTCCTGATCGACACAAATTTGAAATATATTTTTTAGTTTTAGGCACTACTTTAATAACACTCATATTTTAAGCAAACAATAATAAAAATAAAAAACACGTTTTTTAAAAACAAATACTAATATAAAATGCTTTTGACTGGTGGGATAATAAGTCTAAGAACACGCAAACCCAAGAAAACAAAACGTTAAAGATCTTTTTTTTTTCCCCTTACCATCTTAACCAAGCTAAGCCTTAACTGGATATCAGCCCAGCTTGGGCCTATTGGGCTTTAAGTTGGCCTATAAATGAGAAAATAATGTGAAAAAATATTGGCAAAAATGTCAAAAATAAACCTTTGCATGTAATTGGCAATCAAATATAAATGATTTTCTTTTAATTTGGATT